GCATACAGTCAGTTACCAATCTTCTGTGAAAAGGTCATGGAGTCAAACCCGGGTAGTCTTGCTACATTCACTACCAAAGAAGATTCAAGCTTTCATCGGCTCTTTGTGTCGTTCCATGCTTCATTGTTTGGGTTCGAACAAGGTTGTAGGCCTCTGCTTTTCCTTGATGGTATATTTCTCAAGTCAAAATATCAAGGCAACCTTTTGGTAGCAACAGCTGCTGATGGGAATGACGGGGCTTTCCCTGTAGCTTTTGCTGTTGTCGACACAGAATCTGATGATAATTGGCATTGGTTTCTACTTCAACTCAAGACTGCACTGTCCATGTGTCGTGGTATTACTTTTGTAGCCGATAGAGAGAAGGGGCTTCAAAAGTCTATTGCTGAAATATTTCAGAATGAGGATGTATACCACGGGTACTGTGTACGATATCTATCTGAACAACTTCTTAGAGATCTGAAAGAACAGTTCTCTCATGAAGTTAAGCGTCTCCTAGTCGATGATTTATATAAAGCTGCTTATGCCCCGAAGCGCGACATCTTCCAGATGTGTGTGGAAAGGATCAAAAGCATTTCAGTAGATGCTTACAACTGGGTTTTTCAAAGCGATCCTATCCACTGGTCCAATGCATTCTTTCCAGGTGCACGATATAACCACATCGCATCAAACTTTGGCGAGCTCTTCTATAACTGGGTAGCAGATGCACATGAGTTGCCAATCACCCAAATGGTCGATGCAATAAGGGGTAAAATCATGGATTTGATTTATACCAGAAGGGCGGAATCCAGCCAGTGGATGACGAGGCTCACACCATTTATGGAGGAAAAGCTAGAGAAGGAGAGCATTAAAGCTCACTCTCTTCAAGTGATGATGTCAACGCGTAATAAGTTTCAAGTGCATGGTGGGGATGCAGTAGATAGTGTTGACATTGATCACTGTGACTGTAGCTGTAAAGAATGGCATCTTTCTGGCATACCTTGCTGCCATGCTATAGCTGTCATTGGGTGCCTCGCCCGTGACCCATACAACTACTGTGCTAGGTACTTCACAACAGATAGTTACAGGTTAACTTACTCCGAGTCAGTTCACCCGATCCCATGTTCGGATAGCAATAGCCTCACACACAAAAACATTGCTTCTCAAACCGCTGTAACAGTAACCCCTCCCCCAACTCGACGCCCCCCGGGTCGGCCCACCACTAAGAACTGTGGTCCGAATGAAAGGCGTCAAGTTCAATGCAGTAGGTGCAAGGGCATTGGGCACAACAAGTCATCATGCAAGGAAGGGGTGGTGTGATGGAGAGCTAATTTATGTGTAGGTATATGGCTGGAGGACTTTTACACGCCTTTTTGCATATATCTATGCGGTCTGGCTTGCTTGCTTGCTTGCTGGAGTCTATTTACTAGCTGTTGTAATTTGTACCATCTTGCACTGTCTTTACATGTTTTTCTTTGAAGATTGTACATTTTGCCTTCTTATAGATTGTAATACTTGATGCTTTAGAACCTTGATTGTGGTTGAGAAATACAGCAAGGTAGGTGACATTGATGATATCTGGAGATTTTGGTCATATGTCATGTTATCATAATTGTAAGACCAAAATCTTCAACTATCTCAATTTGAACTTGAACTGTATAAGATCAAATCATGGAAATCAATAAATTTTATTAGTTGTATAGAAAATACTGTAATGGAAGATTTCAATTTTTCATAAAGTTGTAGTACGTACATAAACTCAGGTTCTTTGTGAATTTTATTTTTCAATAAAATGGTAATCTCTTCACCAAATTTTGAAAAAAAAATTGTGTGATTTTTCAATGCAATAGTTGTAATGAATTTGATGCTTATTAAGAAAAATTAAGACAAACAAAAATACAATGTATACATGAAAAAAATGTAGAGTTATCTTCATAAATAGTTCATGTGGTCTTTTATAAGTAAATAAATAGTTCATGTGGTCTTTTATAAGTAAATAAATAGTTCTTGCACTTTCAGTAAATAAATACCTCATGCCCACATACTCTTCTTTTTAGGGCAATAAGATAAAAAAATTTCCCAAAAGAAATTGATCGTATGATTTCTACTGAACTACCAAACAAAGAAATTGAATTGATCTACTTCAAAGTAATTAAAGATTTTATGCTTCATGTCTGTGTGGTAGAGATACTCTACGTGCACCATGTATAAAGGAATGAAAATTTTCAAATACTTTCCCAAAAAAATCAATGAAGAAACTACAATTGATGAAGATGGGTATCCAAATTATAGAAGGCGAAGTGATGGTCGAACTATTTTAAAGAATGATGTTCTCACCTAGAAAATTGTTTTGTAGTCCCCCAAAAAAATCCCTACCCCTCAAATACGGTGCCCATTTGACTGTAGAGTAATGTACATAACCAGTCGCACTCTATAAAGTATCTATTCAAGTACATATATAAGGGTCATGCTCGGGCAACAACTGGGTTTTATGAAAGGAGGAGACATAGTGGTGATTAATCCCCGAACGAAATTAAAACGTACTATGATTGTAGATACATCTCGCCGTGTGAGGTTGCTTGGCAAATTTTTACATTCCCAATACAATAGAAATTCCCAAGTGTTGAGCAATTGGGATTTCACTTAACTGATAAGTAGTGGATTTTTTTCGAAGATGAGGACAATGCTAGAGAAGTAGTCCATTGAAAAAGTATATGAGTGAGAAAGTTTCTTGTTTGGATGAAAGCAAATGCAGAACATCCCAATGTTAAGAAATTAACATATGGAGAGTTTCTACAAAAGTTTATAGGGAAGGAAAAAAGAGGGTCAGAGAACTGCGTCTCAAGGGCTTTGGCATCAGTAGAGTTACATATGTGCCTCCAAGTTCAAGTGAGGTATATTATTTGAGAATCCTATTAAACATCATGTTAAGGTGTCCTCAATGACACATATCGTGAAGCAAGTTATGCACTTGATTTGTTATATGATTATAAGGAGTACATTGACAGTTTCAAAGAAGTTAGTCAATGGGCTTCTACGAGTCAATTATGGGTTTTATTTGTTATCTTATTGATAAATAAATCTATGTCAAGGCCTAAGTACCTTTGGGATCAATGTTGTGAATACATGTGTGACATCTTGCACCGCCAACACTGCCAACTAAAACATCAAGGTTATAATTTGTTACCTTTTATACCTTCTATATGCTAAAAGACTTATTTAATGTTAATCAGGTAAACTTATTTCATTTGTATATGTAGACTTGAATTTTAAGTGTGGATGAAATCTCCAACTATGTGTTGGTAGAAAATCGAGACTCTATTGACAATAGGCGGTGAGAGTCTTCGTGATTATGATAACTTGTCGTTTCCTTTCATAAATGTAACAAAATTTGTTAAAAATTGGCTCATTTACATTGAGTTACAATATGATCAGACGTCTCTTGCCCGTGAACACAGATTCCAGTACACCAACTTGAACATCAACGAACAACGGGTGGCATATAATAAAATATTAGAATCTGTTCTAGGGGTGGGGGAAAAACCGAACTAGCATGGTACCACACGTGGAAGGAATAGTACCAAACCGTTTATAATGTTTTTAAATTGGACTGATTTTTTCCATCCCGAACTGAAACCAAAGTAATATCAAATGGGACAGGACCGTGATAGAAAAATTTATAACGGGCTAAACCGTTTAAAGCTATTCTCTTTGTATGTCAAATACTTAATTTATCTGCTTCATCTTACCGATATGGAGTACTTCGTATTATATTACCCTTTTTTTAATATTTTTTCATCACTATTGTATTTATATTTATTACTCCATCCGTTCGAGAATGATGTTCCCATTTTGACTTTTCTTCATTTTTAAGAGTGTTTGACTAATGGCTTGAAAGCACTAAAATGCCCTTGTACTTTGAGCCTCACCACAACCCACCTCCCACTAGCACCCCCACTACCAGCCTGCCCACCTCCAGTGGCACCCACCGCTGTCAGCCCCACATCCCACCACCGCCATCAGCCCCAC